GGAGTAATTTTGGTAGGCCGGCCACTCCTGGGAAGGTTCACCACTGTTACAAGTTTCCTCCATTTGTGGATAATGGCTCTGACCGTGGTTCACTGGAGTCCCAAAGCCTTAGAAATGGCTTTATAATCCTTTCTAGGCTGATGCATGTCAACTATTCTGTTTCTCATCTGTTCTTGAATTTCTTTAGATCGCGGCATGATGTGTTGCTCTTTAAGCATGCCTCACTTTGTCAGACAGGTTCTATTTAAGTGATTTCTTGATTCTACAGGTCTGGCAGTAATCGGGCCTGGGTGTGGCTAGTGAAATTTAACTCAGCTTTCTGTGTGGTTTATCACAGTTCTTTCATGATTTAACAGAAGAGGGCGATTACTTTTTCACGTAGGGCCAGGTAGGTTTGGACAGCTTTTTTCCCTTAATAAATGAAATCATCATATAAAAACTGCATTTTGTATTTACTTGCATTATCTTTGTGTAATATAAAAATTAGTTTGATGATCTGAATATTTTAAGTGTGACAAACATGCAAAAAAAAAACAGGAAGGGGGCAAAAATCGTTTCACAGCACTGTGTGTATATATATACACCCTGCATGTTCCTTACAGAAAATGTTTTAAAATTATTATATAATTATGTATTATTATACAATTAAATTATACATAAATACTTTGTTATACCGCTTGACATTTTATAGTCATTAAACATTTTACAATATATAACAATTTGTTTTTCTTGTTTCTTGTTTCTTGTTTATTACAGTTACAACTACACTTTTACCTTTCATTCATTCATTCATTTTCTAAATTAATTTCAATTAATTTAATCAATTAAAAATCTTAATCAGAAAAGTGAGGTGTTTTCCGTCTTTTCTAAATATATTTTTCAGTAGCTTAATATAAAAAAAAAAACATTGTTACTTTATTCACTATAATGTATGTTTTTTATCAGAGAGGGTGTGTGTGAATGTGTGTGTGTGTAAGCAAAACAAACAGCAAAGCGAGACACTTTCTTCTTAGCATTCATTCTTTAGAAAATATTTTGAGAATGTTTATTATAAAAATATAAATGTTTCCACTACAAATCATTTTACATTAGTAGACAAGGCCATCTACACACTCACACACATACACACCCATCAATCTAAAGAAGGGGAACAGGACGCAAAACAGTATTGCTCTTCAAAACATCATCTTCAACAAAGTAAAATATAAAAACACTGATATGGTCAAAACATAACCTTGTCAACTTACTGAATGCTACGAAAAAAAAAAAAAAAATCTGCACTGTGGTGGTTTGTTGTTAAGAAATAAATAATAAGCCATTATAATTGTTTTTATGTAAAACAAATATAATTCAAAATAACATAAAATATCATACAAATGAGTTCTGTAAAGGTTGCACAGATATTTTGTTCATTCTTTTATACATACGTACAGACATTTGTACAAAGGGATGGCCGGGTAAATGATAATACCTCTAGAGTCACCACTGCTATCACCACAGGTCCGGTTCACATATGTACATGCTAACAGCAGGGGTAAAGCAACATTTACAGGCTGCAGAATCAAAGGGATGTAGAGGAAAAATGGACTGTTCCTTCATAAGGTAGTGCAGTACATGGTCAAAACCGTCATTAGTGCTCTTTTTTGATTGCATGATCAGGATGAAAATATTCAGATATTGACTTAATGAAGCTCAGTATTCAGTCTCAAACTAATAAATGATGGAGAACCTTGTATTTTGACGACTGAGGGCTGTGAATCCTGATGATTCTTGATGATCAGAACGCAGCTGTCCTTTCAGAATAACCCTCCACATGGAACTTCTGGAAGATTTTTTAGTTCAAATCTCTTAGTGATCTACACTTCAGGAAATTACAGAGCACGGTAACGTTCGGAATAGCACACTTCCATACTACTCTTACTATTCTTAAAGTATACAGTTTATATACTGCGCAGTGTATGCAAATGTACTGTATGCTTGGAATATCTAGACGACCTACTACTGTCAAAATGTGCAGTTTTCAACAGAGCTGCACAGAATACTGTATCCCACAGTGCAACCTGCTTGATTTGATCTTCCATTTCCAGCATAATTAATTACCGGAAGTAAATGTGATATTTGTGATATTTTTTTCTCTCACAAATCAGTTCAGCGCAAACTTTGCCCTGCAGATTTCATTGGTCTTGTCAACAGCACTGATTGCTGATTGAACTTTTCTTGACAGGTGATTGAGTCGACCAATGAAATTGGCCGTGGGGCGGGGTTTGTGCTTAAAGGGATAGTTCACCCAAAAATGAAAGTTCTGTCATCATTTACTCACCCTCATGTGTCTCCTGGATGACTTTCTTTCGCTTGTGGAAGACAAATAATGTTGGTTACCAAACAGCTTCGGTGCTCACTGAGTTCCACTGTATATTAAGTGGGGGAAAAAACTATTAAGATAAAATATTCTTATTATAACTTCTTTTATGTTCCACATAAGAAAGAAAGCCATATAGGTTTGGAATGACATGAAGGTGAGTAAATGATGACCAAATTTTTGGGTGAATTATTGCTTTAACTGGTTTGAAAAAAATCACATGTGATATTTAATTACCTTTCTTGACTCATTATTTGATTGGTTGCCAAATGTTAAACCCCATGTGAAGTAACATTCACAACTTATTTTCCTTCCAAAATCTGATTTCCAGGATACTCAACAAGAAAAAAAGGAGGGTGGGACTTTAATCAATTGGGAACTGATTTTGATTGTGAAAAGTAGGTGTTGCCAGAATGTAATCAGGTGATTGGAATGGAGAGGATCTGTGGGGACAAACAAAAAGAGAAGCCAGTTCTGAGGTGGAGCGAGTCATACCTCAAGATTTCAACATGATTTCAGTTTGAATTTTACACGTAATTGGATTAAACATGCAATTGAACTGGATTTAATTTCAAGATGATAATTGGATGTTGCTGAATTAACCAAGATGAGGTCATGTGACAACAATTATTTGAATTGTTGCAAAATTTTTTGTTTCACATACTATACATCATATCTGAGACTTCTGAGATCAAAATCCTGCTGGTATAGAGTGCTGCAGGGATGACAGCTATTTGCAGGCCAAAACCCAGAAACAAGTTCGCATTTTAGCACTCCCAGTTCCATCGTCGATGTATTTTTTAAATGTCTGAAATAAGGCCTGTATGGAACACAAGCTCAATATATTTTCACATATTGTTGGGGACATTAAACATCATCATGCTGAGCAGGTAAACTCGTCTAGAGACTAGTCCACTTTTACAGCCTTGTGTTTATAATGGCGCGCCCGCAAATTATTTCTACTCAAACTTTCAGGGAAAATGTTTCTTAAAGACTGAAAGAGTTGTTGTGACATTGAAGCAATGCGACTGTGGCTTTTTACTTCTGGCGATTGTAGAAGATCATCATCATGAACAAAATGTGTAAGAGCCTATTTTCTGCAATAATCCAAAAACCAATGGGAAAGGGTGATGCTAACTTCTGGGTTGGCCTACAAAAACACATCAGCGCTCTATTCTGTCTGGTTTTCTCATGTGATGCATTATGATTTACTGACTGTTACTGATTCTAGTAAACAGTTGTTTCCTTATAGTGTACTGTTTTTTTTAATTTTATTTGATAATTAATTCATATATCATCCGAACACAGTGGTACAAACAAACATGTGTCTTGGGCTACATTAACAAATAAACCTTTGAAAAGCCAAGTTTACCCAAGGTCTCCTACTCCATCCCTGATTCTCGAGAATGGCTCTCTGCACTCGCAGATTAATGGTTTATTATCAAACATATAGCCAAACGTGTCAGATCCTAACAAGCATTACCAGATTGCTCTAACAGTAACCAGCTGCATTTCTCCTGCCGTTCTTCAGAAGAATTAAAGGGGGATTTTCTACAAGTGGCCCGAAACCACCAAAACTCTGGGGCGCAAGCTATTGCCTCTCTGAAGTGCTACCTTCCAAAAGGAAGACGGATGCTTTTGCAAAGTTTTTTCCTGAAGGAATTTTAATGCTCCCCTGCCACACGTGAAGAGCTCTTCGTTAAATCCATTCGGATCGGACCGGATCTGTCCTCTAGGAGAAGCCATGCAGCGTGACAGTAGACTCCTGAACATGAGACCCGTGCTCATCCGCCTCTCTCGCCGATAAGGCAACATGTCAATCGCTGGAAGACACGCTCATTGCCTTTGCACCTCGTGCCCGGGAAGACGTGATTTTTCTCCAGGAAGGTTGTTCTGCTTCGCACATGTGTTCAAGAACTGTAGTTCCACTTCATCTTTTCATTTAATATCTATTTCCTGTCTGTTAAAGCCAAAGCAGCATCAATCTCGTATAAGTGTCTTTCATTTCCGTCACTCGTTTTTAATTTTACACAGGAACTGGACCGTTCTTTGAGCATGTTTCAAGTGTTGTTAGGCTGCTCACGATCTTCTTCTGAGGTCCAACGATCATCACACCGACTTTCTTGAAGTCCCTGTGTGTCAGAGAGGAGAGAGAGACAGTGAGCATGGGTAATATAGCACTCATGGTTTGACATACGGTGACATTAATGACAAGCCCACAGCGGTGCTCTGCCTCAGACCGCTTGTGTCAGTCATGTAGGATGAAGTATTCCAGGAGGACGCCATGCTGCCATATCCACACAATAAGCTGAGGAGCTGGACTCGTGACAGACTTTGTGTTATAACTTAAAAACTGGGATGATTTACAGCTTCCTGTGATGAGAAATTGGAGTAGCTGCTTCATTTTCTGAGTTGGTTATTTCTACTGTAATTTGAAAGGAACAGCACTGTCAGGTTAACCCCCGGAGGGAAAAAGAACGACATTTTTCATTTAATGAGATCCATGCAACAGCTGACAGAAGCTTGCATTATTTACAATCGTGAATAGACTCTCCAGACTTACCATATGGATGAGTTCATCCCGTGTGCACATATCTGACTCATAGGAAAAAACGTGACTCTACATGCGTTTTTGCACAGCGCAAAATGTGTCACTGCAGGTACCGTCACTGTAGTTCACAGGTGAAATGAACAGCAGTGGTGCTAAAAAAGCTGTTTACTTTCACTGCGAAAAGGTTATGAGGGAGTAATGGGTACAAATTTGTTCTGTTCAAATAGTTATTGCATGGCTTCAGAAGACTTAGAATATACATTATCGTTCACATTTGGTGTTGGTAAGATTAATGCTCATCAAGCCTGCATTTATTTGATCTAAAATACAGTAAAATCAGTAATATTGTGAAATATTATTACAATTTAAAATAACTGTTTTCTATTTGAATATATTGTAAAATGTAATTTATTCCTGTGATTTCAAAGCTGAATTTTCAGCATCATTACTCCAGTCTGTCGGTGTCACATGACCCTTCAGAAATCATTCTAATATGCTCATTTGCTGTTCAAGAGACTTTTATTATTATCATCAATGTTGGAAACCGTACATTTTTTCAGGATTCTTTGATGAATAGAAAGTTCAAAAGAACAGCATTTATTTGAAACGGAAACTTTTGTAATATTATAAATGCCTTTTATTGACACTTTCAATTGAATTTAAATAAAATAATAGAGAATTATGTATTAATTTCTTCAACAAATCTAACTAACCTCACACTTTTGGATATGTTAAAATAATAAATAGTGTTGTTGCATATTTATCTACTTTAAATATGCCACATAACAACAACAACAACAATAATAATAATAATAATCTATTTTACGCAATAACATATTTTGTCAAATTATCAGTTTATAGTATTTGTGCCAGGCTAGTGGAAATGTTAGCAGGACAGGCAAAAGTTAAAACAGATTTTTAATTTTGTACCAACTATCCAGAAACAAATGTCTGTTGTATATCTATTTTAAGTCCTACTTAAGCTTAAGTTTATGGGTTTGACTCTCAGTAAATGGGCACAAATGGACAGAATGGCCTGTATGCATAATTACTGGTTTAAATGCACTGGAAAATGTACTGTAGTTGCCTCTTCTCAGCTTGAATTTTAGGTCCACAATTATATTTAATTAGGCTAAAGAAAAAATGTATTCCTGTATGTGATATTTAAGTCACTAGAATATTATTTGGTGACATGCTCAACTTGTTAACCTTATTAAAGCCTCATCTGTATAAAATATAATTCAACTCAATCGACATTTCACCTGGAAACTGCAGCAATTTGTATAGCGTATTTCAGGTTTTACAAAAACTTATATTAAGTCACCTTTTCTTCCCATTAGATCCGACTGTACATTGCAAAAATATGGCAAACCAATCACTTTAAAGTGCAACTCAAGTTCAGGAGCTTTTGCAAAACAACAACAACAACAAACACATTTTTCTTAGTACTGTCAGATCTAGGGATGCAAAAGCTGTGCAGTAAAAATCATTATAGCATATTAGTAGCAAGCAAATGTAAGTTACAATCTAGGTTAGGCTATGCACACCTCAGGCACGAGTTCTGTTAGCAACACTTCTAGAAGGTGCAGCAGCGATTTAGTCCAGAAGTGGACATGAGCGCAATCAAGAGCTTGAGGGAGCAGCCAGCAATAGAAAAGCTATGATCAGAACCCACCATAAAGTCTATACGCTTTAAAGTGTTGTAATTCCCATGGACGGCTCCCACTCAGGGCACGTGGCTGCTGGTCTGACTTCAGTCAGACAGATTCTATGGGCAGAATACAGCTTTAGATAAACTGACAGGCTGTTTATCGTCAATGCACTGTTAATGCACTGACATCAGCTGAACAAATGCTCAATTGTCAATCAAGACAGGCCTGCAACATTTCTGTGTGACAAAAGTCATTTGATCTACTACACAGAGTCAAATTCAAGCTTCAATAAAGCGGATTTAACAAATTCAGAGGCATGTTGTCTGTAATGCTAATTAAAATGCTAGGATACATTGTGATTGCAAACAGCTGACATCAAGAAGTAACTGCTATACCATTATAACAGCTGTAAGACATCTTGTTGCTTAAGGAAACAGACATGCAAACTAGTTTGGTCAAATCATTTTCTTTTAAAAAAAAAAGTGTACTTCAAGTTCATTTTTTTTGTAAACTTAAACTAAAATCAATGTACTAGTAGTATACTTGTAATTGTACTATTTCAATACGTATTGGGCATATTTGGACCCAATTTTTAGTTTATAGTTTATATTATTTATCTAACAGTAGTAGACAATGAGTATACAGCTAGTTTACATCTAAGTTCTTCCTTTCTTTTGTAACTATTCTGAGATCTATATTACAAGTAAACCTATAGGTATACTGTTAGTTTACTACCTACTGTATACTGTATGTCTAGTTCACTTAAAAAGTACACTTTGAAGTATTCGCTCAGTTTTTATACTTAAAGTATACTTGTACATTTTCTTTCAGTGGACTAAATATCATACTTATAGTTTAATCACACTTTACAAAATGTATTGATAAAGTTATCCAAATGTCGATCTGTTTCTGTGTGGGTTAGGAACACTGTGTACACCCATGTGCTATTTCACTCTAAACTATTTCACCCCAAAGCTGACTTCTTATTATACACTTGAAGTTTATCAGAATGTACAACATATCCTGGAGTACCTAAAAGAAGCCAATATTTGTGGGGTGGGGGGGTGGGGAATTAATCTTTTTATTTTCCACTCTATCAAAACATAACTACAAGCCAAGCATACTTAGAATACTAAATTATAAAGATTAGTCACAAGTATAGGCCAAATATACTTTGACTCTTATGTTTACTTCTCAGTATAAACCAATTATACTTAAGTATACATTTGTTAAGTATATTTGATAAGTACATAGAAGTAGACAAAGTAGACACTCTTTTTTTAGTTTATTTTTTTCAAGTATTCTAGTAGCACACTTGAAAAAAAATCTTTTTTTGTAAGGAATCCCTCAGTGGAGCTTTGTCTTAAATAGCAATTTACAACTTATTTACTACTATGAAAAAATGCCACTTGAGTTCTATTAACTTAAATTTTTTGAACAAAATATGTTGTTTTGCAGAAATAACTCAAAAAGACACAAGAAGGTATAACCACTGAACGCTGCCTGCTGTATCAATTCAGATTTGTCTACAATCTAATGTGACTTGTGCTAAATAAGGTAAAGCCTTCAATGATAGATTAAAGAGCCTAACGTTCTGCACAGTTTACCATGAAATTGCAATAAGAGGCCAAACATCTGGTAAACTTACTATAGCTTCATCAACAACAAAAAACAGAGGCACACAACCAAGGTAAAGTGATAAGTGACTGAATCATCAATAATGACCTCTCTCTTGCGATTCTTCATCTTCCCGGTAGACCCATTAAACTGCAATAGCTTACATGGCTTATTTAAGTTTGAACAATATTATGAAGCAATTTTCAGGCTGCAGACTTCGATCTTTATGACTACAGATTTGTCTAGGTCTCTCAAATTGGTGCAGTACTGCTGAAAAGACCAATACAAATTCCCATGCTGGTGTAATGCTGGTCTGTGTTGACTTTTTGTGGTTTTTATGCTTGTTAGTGTTGAATTGTCGCTGGTTATTACTGATTAGTGGTGGTTAATGTTGGTGTGCTTTTACTTTGGTTCTGGTTTATGTTATTGAATGCTGGTTTGATGCTGATATACTTTATACTGTCTAGGACTGATTTGGTGCTGGTTTTAGCCTGGTTAGTAGTGGTTTATAGCGGTGTGGTTTCACTTTGGCTGGTTAGTAATGGGTTGATGTTGGCTTAGTTGATGGGTGCTGTTTACCATCAAAACTTATTGAAGCTGATTGATCTTGCATGCTCTCACTGGTGAATCTGGTTGGTGGTTTTGCTGGTTAAGCTAGTGAGGTAGCAGAAGGTTAGTACAGTTGTTAAGCATAAGCAGCATCCAGAACCCAACATACAGTATAATGAGATATTGGTCTTTTCAGCAGTTAAAGCACAAACTCAACATATTTATTCTTAAAATTCACAAATATTTTAATTTAATTCTGTGGTGGGTCAAATGGCGCTTTTCCACTGCGTGGTACGACTCGGCTCGGCACGGCTCAGTACGGCACGACACGGTTCGGCTCGGCACGGTTTGCGTTTCCACTGCAGTTCAGTACCGCTTTAGAGTGGGCGGGATTATTCACATGTCGTTATAGTTGCGCCACCTCTACACCACGACTCCTAAAAAAAAACGTTTTCATTCCGCGTCGCCCCATCAAGCTCTCGCTGGATCCGCTCCTCTGCTATCAACGAGAGGAACGTCTGTTCTTCCACAACAGACAACAAAACTTTTTGGTTGTTAAAAAAGGTGCGCTCGTTCAAAACAGTTGCGTTCGATCCTT